AGGCACTTGCTCAGACAGACTATCGATAGATTCATACAATCAAATTATGCTTTAGCTGGCTCTAACTATGTACTGCCTACGTTGGTGGTTTGCTTAATTCTGAACACAACACTAATTTACTATTTTGATTCATTGGTACTAATTTATGATGCATAATGTCGCCTAACTAAAAGCATGAACCACTACACGTATCCATTATGAACAAGAGGAAAAAGTATGTATTACTTCTACACGAGCAATCGCTGCTCTCGAGACGACAGCGTCTTTTGTTTGTGGAAGCCCCACATCGGAAACTCGATAGAACCAAAAATATATCCTCCTCAGAATTTCATGGTGGACAGCTAGTCAATGGCCGTAATACTGCACTACTACATTACGATGTGATCCAAAATACCTAAGCAGATAATGTTTTGCTGAGAATAAGTTCATCCACAAAATTCATAAATGAAATAGTCCTACTGGTATCTGGCAGAGAAGAAGGTGGTTTGAATGTGGCCATGTCACTTTCCATTTTGAGCAAGATTTGTATTTGATTTCAAGAAGGAGTAAAACGACTATGCTTAGCAATCCATCCATCCAGTTGTTTGTTACTAATGGATTTCTCACAATGTACCTACCTACGACAGAGAAGTCTTTCTCAAGTTTTATGATTTTGGCATCACTCAACAGGATCTCGTTTATAAGAATGATTTTATGACAAAATAATTCACAGGAAATCAAATACATACGAGTCATTATGCAATAGTTTTCACATTCACCTTGCAAGCTGGAGTTTCTACGGACGGTATCCAAGAGTATTTGATGAATAATAGAAAAGCCTGGAAAGTTTCACCACCAAGTCTGCTAACATCTCTGGCAGAATAAGATCCGTTATAATCCTAATTTTCGAATGACACTTAGTGTTATTTACTTTAATGAAGATAATACTGTAGACTACTTTTCTCACACAATATTGATTTATCTACTAATCACTGACAGGAGATGCCTAAGAGGAATTACCTGTGAGACCTGTTATTCTCAGTCACGAAGAGTTCACGGATTTCCTTTGGTAATATGGATTATCTGAACTGAACTACATCTTGGGTAGTTCTTTCATACGTGTATTCCCGTTCAAGACTGTGAAGGAATATCATGCAATAGAGCAACAATTTTCCCATCGAGTTGATGGAATATTTCCATTTTTATCATCGCTCATGGAAGACGATTATTTGTCCTTCATCTGCCCTCTGCAACAATATAGCATTGGAAAACATTTTCAGATACAGTACGTTTATTATTTTTTCCAAAGTCTCATATCACTATCTAAATATAATGGTTTCTGATGCGACATTGACCCTACATGGAGCTTCCGGTGAATAAATATGCCACAACCCAAGGGTCTTGATACTACCCTAGGGCGTAGTGGTTCATTTAATTCTGTTGTGAATACAGCTATGTGCAAAGAATAGTTGTGAATATGGTCGCTGATGTCGGTCACAGCAATACAACTTCATGCAGTATACATGGATCCTGATGGTGACTTTTCCTGAACATGTTCATATATTTCATTTTGACTACTGCCGTCCAGGGTGGTAGTTGTTTCTTGATAGCTAAATATTATGGGGATTATCCACAAGGCTGTTTTGTATAGCAAATCAATTTCACTTACATTTGTCGACATATTTTAAGTCTGCCGTTCACACTGACGTAGTAAAGAGCACCACTTTTGCTGTGTGTTATACAGACACCGAATATGTTGCACATTTACTCCTCCACAGTGTGATCTAAAGCTGCATGTCTAATCTCAACTATCAAGTATTATATGTAAATACCGGTGTGGATCGCTGCCCAGTGTTGCGCGATTTTTGGAAGTAAGCATGCTAATATTCTGTTATTGACAGTGTTTAGTAAGGCTTTGGGCTAGTTGGCTAACGTCTCGATAAACACGTCAAGCTCACCTCAACGATGATCGTGCTTTGCACCTGTTGTGTTCAGAAGTGAACAGATTAGAAAGAGATAAGCATTGTACTATGGAGCATGGAACAATCAACCGTCCACGAGCTACCGTGCACAGAATTTTGAATCAGTCAACAGGCCAATGTCTCATCGATCCAATAGCACGTGAAGCCACACAACCTCATCTCTCTCTTCTCGATGAGGGAGCACAAAGTACGTTTCCTGATGACGCAACCACGGTAAACGTTATATCACACATGGAGCTATTTACTTGTGATTGATAAATATGGGCGAAGCAAAGCGTGACGTCGCACGTGCGAGTGCAAGGCGAACGTGGTTGGAATGAAAATCATGAACGGAAGCCAGTACCATATGTTGGCATCACAACATCGTTCCCCTTTTTTTCTTAGGAAAAAAACACTCAGAATTTGTACACAATATGTGAAGCAAGAAAAAGTGCAAATATGGGCTTAGACAGGAATGACAAACAATTACATTTATGGTATGAGTGATTGCATGGTAAGAAGCAAAGCCCCTATTTCCGAAACAGGTGGAATAAATGAAAACTATCGATAGGTCTTACAATTCGAAAGGAGTTATAAACGTGAGGTCTGTAAACAAATGAAGTGCATGTAGGATGTGGGTTGATTCTTGTAATTCTAAACACTATTCAATGCTTTATTGAGAATAATAGTTTGGTCCCGTGAACAAACCACTGGATATCTCCGAAGATCAGTATATGCAACCTTTCCGTACAGAATATCATAACCAAATGCAGTGTCTGTATAAAAGCTTTCGGCCTGAAATGGCATTTTTTTAATGTTAGCACTTCAACACATGTTTTTATGTGGAAAAATTTCAGAAAATGACATTTTACTTGATGGTAAGTAGACAAATCCAGTTGGTATCAACTGTATTCCAGTCATTGCCAAATAAACCAAACAGAATAAGTTTATATGTTATCTACAAAAATGCAAGCAGTTCTATCATCTGAATTAATATGATTTCCCAGGGGAATTAACTCAGCAGAGGGGTAAGTTCTTTTAATAAGTTACACCAGCGGCAATTTCAAAAGATTATCCATGGTTCTAATATATGTTTTCAAGGGGTAACGTAATATGACGACTGCTCACCTTGATATGGAATAAAACTGAAAACACATGCCTTCATTGGTGGGCCATTTGAAATGTTTCGAGATCCGATGGTAACCAATCAGCATGCGAAATTACACATTTACTCACCGAAGTGCAACCGAAACGAGTCTAATTTGTGTTTAGGCTTGACAACGGATAAAACCAGTAGAGATAAATTGCGTGAGCGCCAGACGGTTCATCATGCTTTCTCAATAGTTTGTGTTTACTTTCGACTGGAAATCAGACTTCACATGAAAGTGTGCACTTTCTGGGCATACCGTTGGTGGATGATCGACGCAGAAATGTCTCAGATTCTTATGAAGTAGTGCCATGGGGGGAAGTAGTGCACAGTGAAGACGGCGGCTTTAAACTTAGTCGCTTAAATTAAAGCACTATGGCCCTTCCGCTCCTGTGGCATCTTTTTGTCCATTAAGAGTGATAAAACGATGTTCTAAAACGGGACCACTTAGTGTGATATCTACCACGCTTTTGGCATTAGACACGCCTGTGCAGCGCCTCGTGGTGCAAATCAGTCTGACGTAAAACAGTGCTGCTGGATAGATGTTCGTGAAGATTTGTCAGTGTTCATATGTCCGGAGACACGTTTCCCAATACTGGTGTGTGGTGACGTGATATCAACGTGATATCTCATATGAGCACGTTTCCTTAAGAATCAAGAGTACAGCAGTCGTAAAATGTCATACCATGATGGACAACAATCGGCCACATAGTAATATAATATAACATAATAATAATCATAATAATAATAATAATCATAATAATCATAATCATAATCGTCCAGCTCCACAGCGATAACCATGCAAAATGAAGTGTTTCATTTTTAGGTTTGGAAATCCATCACCTTCTTCAGTTGATAAGTTAGAAAATATTGCCTCTTCTGGTAGGACCAGTGTTCTTTCCCAGGAGGTGTACCGGTGAGAAAACAACACAAAAGATTCAATACGTTCAATTATATCATCTTCTATGTGAACTTTCAAAAGCAAATGGTCAATGAGGGTACAATCCCGTTATGAGTGGGGGCTTCTTTCACTGAAAATGACGAATTACCTCACACTATAAAATGGTCCAAAATCAACCGCTTGTCCGGTTGTACTGTATCATCCGACAACCAGACAAATGATTTTGTTGAGGTAGCCATTTGACTCATCTTTTCAATTATTCTTTAAACGGCTAACTGGGGAAGTCTGCCAATGTTTCATTGCACCCCTATTAGGAATGAGGCCAAACCGCTTTTCGTTAATAGCATAATAATCGGAAACAGTTTCGTCATTTCTATTTTTTCATTTCCAATAATGAAATTCTCACAAACACATAGTCATGGGTGCTGACATGGAACAACCGAAATTCCTCTTCATTCGTCAATGCCCTTATTAGCACGTGGAAAACCATTGGGTAAGTTCACTTACTTCATTGCAAGGACTAAACCTGTTTGTTCTCGTAAAACAGGCTATGCTTTGCAAAAAATATTTTTAAATAATTCGTTCATCCGCAGTGTCCATTTTTTGCTTGAGATCTTCCACCTGAACTATTTATAGCTTGAAATTCACAAAGAGCATTTCATGCAATACAAACATAATTCGGCATGACTCTTTCGAATGAAGACTTCCACTCCATGAACTCTGGCTTCTAAAAAACGTGTCATCCTCGAATTTTGCCAATCTGACTCATTTACCTGTTTCCCAGTTCACTCAAGAACGTTTGCATTATGTACATGTGCTTGCGATATAGAGCCCAAAGGGAGGTTCTCATCATGACGGTGGTGTTCTACTGCGATCAGCTAGATCGTCCCTCCTAACTAGTCCACTTCTATAACATTTGATTTAACGAAAAGAATAAAAATCACCTATAGATTGGTACGTTTTAATTTTTTTTTCCAATCAATTTTTATCCGTCGAACGTTGCATAACTCACTTGGATGAAGGACTGATTGTCTCGTTCCTCCCAGAGTTCACCAGATGTTTCTATCTCACTCGCTATACCTTTCACGTCTGCCAGTAAAAGCGGTCCCGATCTTTGAATAGACAACCCATCTGCTGTTTGAGTAGATAGAAAAGGGTAAAAATTTGCTAAGCTTGTAAAAAAAATAAGAGTAATGTAGAATCTCACTTTGGTTTTTACAAGCTTTTCCAAAATGCTGACTGATTATAAGTACGCTCTGCTCGTGTCCATAATTGTGATATGATAATTTAAGTTCCGCATCTACAACGACACATCCTTTCAGCTGTATATCTACTACAAGGTCAGTGAAAATGAACCTAATATAATTCGAAATCCGATTCGTCATACATCTCTCAAGCTCAGCCAACAATATCAATCATGGTTGTCGGTGAATTGGGAGCATGTTTTATAAGATGAAGTCAAACCAGTTACCTGTGACGGCTGAGTGGTTCAGAGTGTTTGGCTAGTATCTCGGAGGCCGGAGGTTAGAAACCCCACCGTCATGGGTTATCTTGATGTTGTTAGGCTCGCTACCACACATGATCTATTCGAACTTCTTGGGGTTATTCAATCATAGTCTCAGGGGTTGGTTGCCTTTTATCTTCAATAAAGAAGTGGGCCTTTGTGGCAGCTGAGTATAAACCCCTCCAGCTGCACTTGTGAGAAAGTATGTAATACAAAAATACGGATATTTCGTAGCCTAATTCGTGGTACTCATATGCCGGAGAATAATCATATTGTGAGGCTGATGAAGTGTATTATCTAATTTACTATTGAATCTGTGGTCGAATGAAATCGTAAAGTTCATGGTTTGAAGACGTTGCTCTAGGCTATCGGACAAAACCGTGCTGGAAATATTATTACGAACAAATCACTCGACACGTAAGGTCGTCGTTGTTAGACAAGTATTAGCTGCTTCGATTTATGCTTCTCTCTTACGAGTACTTGCGAGTATTCTGTGAGACTGAAAATACTTTGCTTGATTGATTGCCCTTTCGGACTCCGCACTTCAAGTCCATCACTCAGGTCACGCAGTCAACCTCATACTCAGGAGCATCAAACTGGAGTTTCACTCATGTTAAGCCTTACTAGTGATGCACATTTACCACCGCACTCGGGCTTCGAACTCGGGCCTTTTCACCCCAAAGGAGTGTGTGGTATCACTGCCCCCCCCCCGACTTCCCGCTCTCGTCAGCTTTGATCCGAATTACTGCCCAGATGTCGTCCAGTATGGCTGCCAGAATTACCCGACAGCTTCGGAGGGAGATATGGTCATCGTGCAGTTAACTTCAAGCGAACTACCTCCACCAAGTCAAGTCTTCTTCACAAGAAGTTCCAGCGTACCCATTTTTATGTTTAGATCTAGACGAGACTATCCTCACATGTGCGGAATTAGATCCATTATATTAAGCAAATACAAATCAATAGTTCTGAGTCTCTCTGTGTGTCTACCGATCTGACATTTTACACTTGTTAGCTATAAAAAAGGCCTTGCACATATCATCGAATACATGATAACACCGAGCGAAGCGTTGATCAAAATTACGGTAATCGTTTTCCATGCCTTCTAGCTTGTTCACAATACCATTTTCGTAAATGAATGAGAACAGAGGCGACTAGCCCTCTTCTTTGAACTTCTTATTCCGCTTACAGATGCTAACAGAATATATCAGTGTGAGAATTCTTTTCTGGCAATTGCTATGGTTTAGTTTGATTAAAAATTTGCTAAAATCAGATCGGTGGATTTGCCGTCATATTGTGCAGTCTTGGATTACCAATAAACGGCCGATGAGCCGATGTGCACTTGATTCCATACTCTACTGAAATACTGACTAGCAGACATGTTTGATTTTCCTCAATTGCATGGAATGAACGTGTCATCATAGTGTGAAACGCAACATTTGTGAAATAAACGGCTGAAGAGGATCTGAACAAGATGGTTCATCCGTATTGATGGGTCACTGGAGGTGTGGTGGCCGTTCACCGTTCAATTCTGGATAATTGTCATCTCACGTACAAAAGAGAAAGACTGATCAAACAACGTCTAGTCTTCTCGGTCACAAATTACTCTGCTATTCGCTTATGTGTTTGAGGTTGGCCAGTGGACAAAGAGAGCATTGAACCGTGTTTCCGAATAGATAAATGACAAATTAGGTCTATGATAGCCAACTGGATTTATCCTAGGTTATTTGGTGATACAGACTAATCAGTCGAGACCAGGTGGGACGGGGTACCGTGATCTTTGCAGTGAACATGGATTCATATCGCCATCGGTGGTCATTAATTTGTCGTAGGCACCTTTACAGAATTCACACTCTTACTGAAAAATAAATCGAGAGGAGGCAAAGAAATAGTAGTGTCGTGGTAGACGAAGAATTTTGCCGCGTCCCATAACAAACGAAGTAATCTTGTAATTGTCAGTCCAGTTACAGTTACATTTATAATATTTATCTCACCCACAATTGAACTGAAAGCTTTCCTTTCGGTCTAGTTACATCTGGAACGCTGAAGGCGGATATTCCTGTTTTGATAACATACCACACCAACAACGAACAGAAATGCATGTGATGCTCCGTCCAGAGAATACATTACGTTCGTGTTATTCGAATAAGCTCACCATCCATTGCCCGGTTGAGATTCCAAATATCCTTGAGGAATTTCCAAGTCACTCGTGAAATAATCCCAGGCCAAGCTCTCCCGAAGTTGTTTGACCAATATTTTGCTACGTTCACAAGCATCAATAGGACGAATAGACGACATTCATTAGGATCCACCGTAACATGCAATTTGCACCACATGTGATCATTTTTCCGTTTTTTTGAACGACTTGCATCAACTCAATCTTTTCACATGTTTCGCTGAAAAGTAATTGGAAAAATCATGAACTGTAAGTGAAATTCCAAACGGACTGATTAATACTTGGATACTAACCCACTCCTACCGAAGATAGAAGTTTCCGTTCAATAGGCCCGTTGCTCTAGGTGCTCTATACTTCTCGAATGCTGATTCGTTGCTCATTTCTCACGTCATCCTTTGCGTATGTACGCTGTAACAGCTATAACCGTGTGTTCTACTGATATTTACAGTTAAAGCTCTTGGTCCCACACGGGTCTCGCGTGGAATTTGGTCTCTTTCTTTCTATGTCGCTCAAAAACAGCAAAGTTGCTCCCATGTGATCCCCAGATAACACGAGACTGTCCTGGAGACAAACATGACATAGCACTAACAAGAAAAACAAAACACAATGAAACATTCAAAATCTTTTACACCGAATCCGGATGTGACAAACTGTTCGGCACTGATGCACCAATAGACGATATCCTAACGAAATCTGGAGCTCCCAAGTGGTAATCTGAATTGTATTTAGTCTGGGTATATAAATGTGCTACAAGGTAAAAACAGGTATTCAGAACAGAAATGGAAAAAATTCCCACACCATGTTTTTGGCTTATAGGCCAAAGAGAGTCGAGCGTATATCGAACGAAGCACATCGATCGAAATGCGTATCGGTCTATTAAAACTTAGCTAACTCTGTTGCGTTGCTGTGCTCTGGTTTCCGTTGCTACCTCATAGAGTAGTCTGAATACCATCACAAACAGTAGATGACGGAGCAGCAATGAAACAATGAAGAAGGAAAAGATCAGGCGGATCTCATTTGTTCCGTTCTCTTGCGGTTTTCCATGTTGTAAGGCGAATTTTCCTTTGTCGCTATGATTCTGGCTGCTCGTGTAATTGGCTAGCTAGACCGAACGAACAGTTACGTGTGCGAATCACGTAGATGACAAACAAATTCCACTTTAGATACGAAGCTGACCACGGAACCTCGAACAGTCTTACTTATTTTTCTGTTTTAATGTAAGCAGTTAGAACCAGCGGTTTCTCATCGAAATCGTCTTCTCTTCAAACACATTTAAGGGAGAGCAGAGTGTAAAATTCAAGCGTAGTTAATCCATAGTCCTTAGCTGAATGCTGGGTAACCAGCAGGTTACCGAAAGAACCACTCCGTGATATGAGCCATTTTACTAAGAATGTTTTTAGAATAACGCAAATCTCAGGGTGATGAAGCTCACAACCAAGGAAAACTCTAAAATCTATGAAAAAACAGCAAATCAAACAACTGTTGAACTCCAAGATGACATTTATGATGGATTCTCCAAAAAACCTATTTTAGAGAGGTTGGTTTGTCTAGTATTAGCTACCTAAAGATGTGTGGATCGGTCACCTACTTTATTTTATAGGCACTTCAAGCAATTGTTTGTAGCTGACCAGTGATCAGTTTCATCAATTCGATCACGGTTTGGTAACAAAAGTTACCATTTGGGTCTTGCATTATGAATACTGGGAAAGATAGCCCCACGTAGAACTGGCATATTTGAAACGTTTTAAAAGGATTAGAATTATTTCAATTTGCAGTATTCTCTGAACTAAATCCGCGTAAGTACTTGAGAATTGTAGGGTAATTGTCAATATTTCTGTTCATTTTCCTGCACTGTTTATCAAATGTCTCCTGGATAACCACGAAACTAGAGGGGCTTTTATTATTAACGAAATATGTGATAGCCACAGCGAGAAATTAGACAATGTGAACTATATATATATATATATATATATATATATATATATATATATATGCAAAAGCGCACTACGATCTATGCCCCACAATCTTACATTGAATTGTCATGTTGCGTGAGGTACAAAACTTTATTAGACAAATTACTGTGACTTGACGGTTCACAAGGCGCGTCCTCACCAATCGGTGATCTACAATGTTTCCTAATCCCTCGTCAGTACTCATTACCAAACAATGGGATTTCTCACTAATAAGTGTGTCTGAATTCCAGCCCATTTGTCTTAGCCTGAACTCAGTCTCCTATTGTCATTGTTATTATTATTGTCTTCGGAATCCAACAAGGCTTGGAAATCGTTGGTATTACGATTCATTTAAATCGTCCAAGCTTTCACTCGGGTGTAAAAGATCATCAGTGTGTTCTGCAGCAAACGTCATCTTCTGGTTAATCTTCAAGTGAAAAAAATCATTCTAACGATATAACTATGCTCATATATAACATGTTAAAAGTCTTTTAGTTAATTAAGAGCATTAAGTCTTGGTGATAATGATAACGTCAATCAGAGTTTGCTATTGCCAAACTACTTCCTTTTGTTCTTCCAGAATCAGCCATTACCCGTGAGTAACCACTGATTTGCGTAGATCAGTGGTCAAAAATCGAAGTTAAAACAGAAACTGCTAAAGTAATATGCTACGCTATGTGGTTTGTGATGCAAAGGAAGCACATGGAGGAATGTAATAACTGGCGTGCCTTTCGTTGTTGCAAGCATCACGTTTAATTTTCCTTCAAGAATAGGCTTGACGTTGTGGTAGTATCGCGTCTCCGTGGTTGACACAGAACAGTGGTTTGCAGTCCGCAGAGGTACAAACGCATATCAGCGTACTATGACCGCGCATACCGAATGGCATTTTTACAGCAAGTTACTCAATCAAGACAGATGAAAACAAATTTGTACATGATTGCTTATCTAAACGTTTTCATACAGATGAAAATAGACAAGGTACTGTTTGGAAATTCATTCACTATAGTCTGAACCGCATCCACGTCATTCAGCTTTCAGACAGAATAAATTCCCCTGTAAAGCAATATGCAAGATTTAAGTATTGAAACTATCCTTGAATTGTTATGCTCATTTTTAAGTTTTCAACAGACAGTTGATTACCACTTGACATACAGCGTGAAAAATAGTTCAGCTGCATGTTTTGTAAACTCATTTGAGAGTTCAGGTTATGTACACACATTGAAGAGATAATGAGACAACAATATTACCTTGAAGCAAAACTCTCACGAATATTGTCGATCAAATGGGTCATTTCGCGATCATCTACTTTAAACGATCACGCAGCTAAGCTGTGCACCTTTCTTGTAACTACAAACATTCGTTCGAGAGGCAAGCTGCTAGTTATGGGACTCGATCGCTGTGAGAATAGAGTTGTGAGCCTTCATAAGGCAGAGACAAATGAAAGCTGAAAGGTGTATTGTTTGTAGTAAAAACATCATTGAAAGACATTCAACTTCGCTTCGTGGCGATGGTAAAGCGGAAATTGTTTACTCCTTAATATGTAGTACGCTTAGGGCTCGATGGATTCAACCGGCTGAGAGATAAACCACGGTCCCTGCTCCTAGGGAATGGAGCGATCACCAGTACCAGTCATCACATACGTACATATATAAATCGAATATACCACCGGTTACCTCTTTAGACCATCAATCATTTGAACACCATCGCCTTGTACGATATGTCGGACGAATAAGTCAATTATTGTCAATTTATGACAACGCTTTTGGCTTATATCTTGGCGTAACTTCCAATTGGTTTTACTAATTTCAGTAGGGTACCTAGAAAATATACTAGGCAAGTTTTGAAATTCACTCCCTATAATGACTGGCTAGAATTTTTAATTTATAAATTAATCAGACTATCGGTGAATATTTGTTCTATGTTCATGCATTCGTTTTGACGCCGTTCACACGGAGTGACGTATTCACAAGCTCGTGTGTGAACGAATGCAGACCGGAATCTGACTGGTGCCAGTGAATCATTCAGAACGCAATGAACTTGCTCTCTCCCCGAAACAAGCTAGCCAGTCGTGTAGACTGGACAGTCCGCCAGGTAGAGAATGTACAGTCAGTGATTGGTGTAAAACAGGTATAACATAACAACCACAATGGAACTGTTTCTCGCAGAGCTTTGTTATCTAACCGAACATAACTGTTGCATCGGCTAAATAATCTTTTTCTCGCTTCATAATGTGAGAAAATCCCAAATTTTACTGGATTCATTCAAAATAATTCAGAACTATTTGCAAATAAGCCCCAATCAGTTTGAGATCCAAGCTTACAGCCTCTTCTCCGGAACCTCAAAAACTGGGATGAATGGACAGCGAGATTACTTGTAGTTCTATGATGCATTGTGCATTGTTCAAACTGGTACATCATCTTCGTGCAAGCAAGTTACTCTTGGTATTCTTGAGATTTATGTAGGCAACAAATTCAGCACTGGTCCGTCTATCCTATGCATGTGATATCGCAATCACAAGTCCACTGAGTCAGATGCGTGAACCGCAAATTCACTATGGAACAATTACATAATAGTAATAATACTCACTCTGTTTCAAACGTTAATGCGCTAGAATGGCATACATCTACCAGGCACGATTTTATTCTTGGCAATTCGTGAAAACAACTTTGCAGTAAATCTCTGACCATTGATACTGAAAGCAACAGCAGTTCAAAATGTCTGTTTTGTAGTGTATCGGATTTGATTGTAATATCATGTTATTCAAAATGGTTTATTTTATTACTCTCGAGTTGATGGTTTTCACTGGTTCATAAGAACTAAGTTTGGCAATTGGCTCGTCAGCCAAGGGACACTAGTGCTGGCAGTAATGACATATCCCGTGGCTGGTGACAAAACGCTTATAAACTCAGTGCCAAGCAAAGCTTTCGAAATCTCTGCAAAACATTCTAACAATTTGTTATTGGACACTCTTTTTTGAAAATAAAATAATGATCCAGCAAGTAGAAAAGAATCATTCTCTGTTGCTGAAAACATCTGGTTATTTGGTAAAACCAGCTGCCTCATGATAGAAGCCTGAAACGAAATAACGATAACGGAATGTGTTCAAAATTCAGTAAACATATCTTGATGTTTAGAGTGGCAAATTTTACTCAGAAATATTTTGACAATAT